GTTCCAACAGCTTCTACGTTCAAATCAACACCATTCCCGACTTTAACCGTTCGTTGGTTTATTTCCAATCTCCGGATTGTATGGAATCCCTGTAATGAATTAGAAATGTAAACCATAGATCCAGAGTCAATCCACCATGTATTAGTTGGAACATTAATATTGAGAGACTCGTAAATCATAAAATTATGAATATTACTTTTCTTTGTTAACCATTCCTTAAATTTATGACAATCCTTTTCAATATGCCTCTTTTTATGGCAAAATTTGCATTTCGGACCTCCTCGAAATGATGAACTAGTACTTGCACCCGTCTTCTGGACTTTATTTGGAGTAGAGTTATCTCCAACTACACCTTTGCCCTTCCATGATCCCTTCCTTTTCTTGGAGTTAATTGTGGCAATATGAGCGATGTTGGGCTTTTCAACTTTCAAGCGTTCTTCTTCTTGCACACACATGGCAATTAGTTCACTCATTTTCCATTTCTCCTTTGCGTATTATAATTGATCTTGAAAGGACTAAATTGCATAGGGAGAGATGTCATGATAAAATGAACTAGAAAACCTTCACTAATTTCCATGTCCATGCCTTTTAGTTTATTGGCCATGTCGCTCATCATCATGATATGTTCACGCACACCACTGACTCCATCATACTTAGTTGTCAACATTTGAAGGATCAAGGTACTTGCATGAGCTTTCGAAGTACCTTTAAATTGTTCCTCTATGAAGTTTAAGTATTCCTTTGCATTCTCGGAGGGAATGGCTCCTCGAATAGCAACGGATTTGGAATTCTTAATGATCATGAGTGACATGCGATTAGATCGCTCCCACTGTTCGTAGGCATGTTTTTGATCCATTGTGCTCTTATCATTAAGGGCAGCAGGACGATCACTACGAAGCGCATGATCAAGGTTCATAACTCCGAGAGTCAATTTCACTTGATCTCTCCATGTTGCGAAGTTAGTACCAGTTTAAGGTTCAATTCCGGATAAAGTAGATGCTGGCATAAATTGAAAATTAAATGCATGCTCAAATAAGACTAAGTAAAATAAAATTAAAATGAAGGGACATATATGTAACATAAAGCATATCGGTACAGATAATTTAAACCTACTACTTACACCAAATAATAGGTCTATAAGATATCGTACCCAGTCATCAACCTCACGTTGGTTCAGTTGACAACAAAGAATAAGCTATCTCAAATTAAACTACGCATGCACAAATATCACATATCACCGTTGGGCAGAAAAGTAATGAATATGCAAGTTATGCTTGTAGTTCATTGATTAAATCATCAATCAAGTTGCCGTTGAGTTTATTGAGTGACAATTTAAACAATTTACAACATGATATTATTATACTTTAGTTTAAGTAATCTTCCGTTGGGTTAATTACTTCAAAGACATGGGGTTTCAATTAAGAGTTTTACATACTGTATTTAAGTATGTATTATGCACTGCAAGAATCAATTCTTACACACAGAAGATTTCAAACATGTGGTCTCTATTAAAAGTCATTTAAATATTTGGTTATTATTTCATGACATACTTTCGTAATTTATATATCTTATCCAGTCATACAGAAAGCATACAATCATATTATACATTTATATGATATGCCGCCAGTGGTGTTTTGGTGGAGAAGTAAAAAACAAACAGAGGATTAAATATCCTTACAGTGGTGGTCAAAAGGTTTTTGTGAAATGGAAAATTAATAGTGATTCATATGCCACTTTCCATTTTCTTTCGCATCAAGAATTGTTTCTTGGTTATTTTATGAACACGATGAGCATGAGAACAATTCACAAACATATTTATCATGTAACTGCCATGGCTCTGATACCACATGTTAATTTATTAAAACATCTAACAGGATTTAAACTCAAGATCATCAATCATCATTATAAAATTGAGTAAAACTTACTTGGTAGTATCGATTTCTGATTGACATTAGATGATGAAGCCATATCATTAGGATGAGTCAATATTCCGGTGATGATGCCAACAATGCGATGGAGGGATTGAACAAATTATGGTGTTATTATTTTGAGAGAAATTTTGATTTCTTTTGTGTTCTTATGACATCTCACACATGAAAAAACCACCTATTTATAGTTTAGTTATATGGCAGTTTTTTCCATCAAAAAAGCTGCCATTAGTTAGTTAGGATAGATGATGTCATTAGGGCATAGTTAAGGGTATAATTATTACTTATACCATATGTTAAATATTGTTAGTCTAAATGGTTTAAGGCCACTTATAAGTAGAAGTATTCTAACAATAAACACTTGCGAGGATAACTGTCACATAATAACCTTTAATGAACATAAAAAATTCTTAACTAATAAACCCTACCCAGGAATGGGGATTGAATAGCATAACATTTAATATTTCGAAGTTTCAAGTGACAAAACATGCACTTTTAGTGGTTTACATGCACATTGGTCAAGGTGGTAGAGACAAGGCAAACACTTATGAGGATGATTGTCACATAATAACCTTTAATGAACATAAATAACTCTTAACAAATAAACCTTACCCAGGAATGGGGATTGAATATCAAGCACAACATTTAATGTTTAGAAGTGTCAAGTGACACAACATGCACTTTTAGTGGTATACATGCACATTGGTTATGGTGTTAGAGACAAGGTAACACCTTCAAATTATGTGGTTGAACCTAAAAAGAGGTCATCTATGTATGTAGACTGAGCAAAGGACTATAAATACTTACATTAGGAAATATGACACTTATCTAATAACCTTTAGTATTATTCAATATGGAGAGATAGGATTGATGAAATGCAACATGCTTTGGTCAGGAAAGTTTAATCTAATTCTAAGCTGAATGGCAAGTTCTATAAGATGATGGTGAGACATGTCATGATTTATAGAGAATGTTGGCCAGCAAAACACTTGTTGACAAGTTGTGTATAGCAAAAAATGTGTTTTTGGACATAATGGATTTCTTTATTAAACTGCAAAGGAACATACAAAGATAGTAGACCCTACAAGTGAAATAACAACTACAACTAAACCCACTAACAAAAGAAAACATACATTCTTACCATCTTGCCACCGTCTCGCAAAGTCAAAAAGAACTCAAGCTCCAATAATGCAAAGATTGCAACACCAACATTGGATTAAGAGTTGAGACCAGAACCTACTTGCCAATAAATTGAAACCAAAATCCTAAAAGCAGCAGTCGGAAGCGATGATGGTTGGACCCTGACAGAGGGGGGGGGGACTTGCAATTTATGATGCAAATGACGAAAAGAATCCTATGAAACTTGGAAATGACAAGGGGTGTGATAATTCTGACGATAGGGAAAGTAACGAATATGAATGAGAATTGCCAATTTGAACAGAAGTTTTTGATTAGTATGAAAATGAGGACTCTAAAAACCTGCAGAGTAATCCACCATTTGCAAGAACCGCCTATCTTAGACGAAAACTCAATGAATGGAGGAACACCTAACTTCGACCACACACTGAGTTGAATAGATAGGCCTGTAACTGAAAGAAACCTGAAAGGTAGTAGATATGGGATAAAGGAGCGGTTAGGGTTCAAACACTCCATTAATGTTTGTATCATAAGTATTAGGGTTCATAACTCTTAAAAGACTTCTGGTTTGTTGGAAGCTTATCTTAGTCAAAGTAGCGCGATGTTTTTGTCTTTTCTTCATGAACTGAAATTCGTTTGTTGCTTTGAGATCCCTCCATAATTATGAGTTTCATAGGTCATTCGCCTTTCATTTTAATTTAAAAAATTTACATTTTTTTGTCAAGAACATCATTTTTTATATCAAGGGCACTAGCAATTTTTTCAAAAATATTATCAATCTTCGGAGCTCTGCAAAACTGCCATAAATACTTGTATTATTGCTAAGAAGTTCTTGTATTCATTCATGCTTTACTGAAAATTCATTTGAATATTTTTTTAGAGACACAAATTCTTCATTGTCCCAAAGGATGATCTGATTAGTAATTCAGTTCAAGAATAGAAGAGAGAAAGTATAGAAGAGGATTTTATTTTCTTCCAAGGATTTGTTACAAAAGAAGGGGAAGCCTTTATTTTATAGGAAAGGAAAAGGTACACTGTAGACATATCCGTTTCTATCCAGAAATCATGACTGATTAGATGGAATTGGAATTTTCTGTTCCTCTTTTGACTGCAAGAATTGCTTCAGAAAGTGTGTTTCTGGTCAAACTGGTGATTCCATTATTACAATAACACCTGGTGAGTTATCATGGCATGTTAGTAGAGCTGATTGCCACTGGCTTCAGTGAAATCACAACCCACATATAGCAAACATGTAATGGAAATCACATTGGGTTGTGGCTTACTGATTAAGGCTCTCAAGGAGATGTGGTGGAAATTTCATCATATTCCATTTGTTCAAATCCACCTGCAATGACTCCAGGTCATTTGTGGTCTACCGGGGGATTAGTCGGTGTGTGTAAGCTGGCCTGGATACCTAAAAGAGAACATGTAATACGGTCACTGGGCAACCAAAAATATCACACTTCATACCAGAACCCCCTACTAGAAGACAAACATGAATTTTCCGGCTTATGCAGATGGTTCAGTCAAGTAAGTCGAATAAACCTTTAAGTCGCCAGAAAACAAAAAGGGTGGAGAGATGAAAACTGTTGCATATTGATCGAAATACCGACTCCAAGACGGATATATTTTAGGAAGAAGATATATCCTAAAATTTCACCATGGAAGAATGACTCAGGTGCCCTTGATTGTAATCTTGATGGAAGGGATGAAGGGTAGGAATGATTAGTATGGTTTGTAGGAATTAGTGGGTGTGTATTTGATTGGGAGTCTGTATATATATGTGTGTGTGTGTGTGTATTTCTTTCATTAATACATTTAAATTGTAAAATAGGTGAAATTGAAACCCTTATAAAATTTCCATATGGTGTTCATATTTCCAGTGGATTTGCGGTGTTTCTAGTACTCGTAATTGTCTATTTTCATCAATTTCAGATCATCGATCTTCTGGGGATCCATCCATCTGCAAGGCAACATCTCGGAAAACCGCAGGGGGTGCAAAAACATGGCTTTGTTCTACCGGTTTCTGAATGTGAGTTCAATATTACCACCACCATCGAAGAAATACACCAGTCATCACCGCTCACACCAGGCCATCGGTCTCCACGTTGTACTGGTGCTGCAATACTAGTTGCCGTAGCCCTTCTAGAAGGATGCTCGGCCACCATTGGGTCCCACATAATGGTATTCACATCTGGGCCGGCAACTATGGGACCGGGGATGGTCGTGAGCCAATATCTAACTCAATCGATTAGAACTCATCGAGACATAAACACTGGTCATGCTTCTTTTTACTGGAAGTCTTGTGCGTTCTACAAACAAATATCGGAGAAATTAACAGATTTATCGATGGTGCTCGATCTGTTTGCATGTTCTCTGGATCAAGTTGGAGCAACGGAGATGCGGGCAGCAGTTGAAAAATCGGGTGGGTTCATGATGTTGGCGGAATCGTTTGAATCGGATCAATTTAGAAAATGTTTGCGTTACATTTTCAGTCGAGACGAAGAAGGGTTCTTGAATATGTGTTTTGATGCAACTATCGAGATAATTACCACGAAAGACGTGAAAATATGTGGCGCTATCGGTCCGTGTGTTTCACTCCGGAAAAAGAACGGTTTGGTGAGCGATAAGGAGATTGGTGAAGGTGGAACGAACATTTGGAAGCTTGGAACAGTGACTGATAAAACGTGCATCACATTCTTTTTTCAAGTGAGTGACGAGCAGAAAGCGCAGCCGGGGACTGCATTCTTTATACAGTTCATAACGAAATACCGACATGGAAACATGGGAATTCGCAAACGAGTAACATCTGCCGCAAGACGGTGGGTCGGTTGCGGTGCACCAGAAATTGCTGCAGGGTTTGATCAAGAAACCGCGGCCATAGTCATGGCTAGACTTGCAGTTCACGAAACTGAAAAGAATTTCCCCCGAGAGGTGGTGAGATGGCTTGATAAGGAGCTAATTAGCTTCGCTTCAAAGTTCGGAGACTACATCTGCGAAGATCCGTCATCGTTTCGTCTTTCTTCGAATTTCTCGCTCTATCCGCAGTTCATGTATCACTTACGAAGATCTCAGTTCATTGACGTGTTCAACAGCAGCCCGGATGAAACCACATTTTTCCAGCTGATGTTAACCCGTGAAGGGGTTGTGGGGTCGTTAATAATGATCCAACCAACGCTTTCCCAATACTCGTTTGACGGCCCTCCAATTCCCGTTCTTTTAGATGTTTGCTCGTTATCTCCTGATGTAATTCTGCTATTCGATTCCTACTTCTATGTCGTTATTCACTACGGATCCAAGATCGCTCAATGGAAGAAGCTGGGGTATGACCGAGACCCAGACCATGAGAATTTCCGAAAGTTGTTGGAAGCACCGGAGGTGGAGGTGGAGCAGCTGGTGGCGCAACGGATCCCAGTTCCGAAACTGGTGAGGTGTGAGCAGCATGGTAGTCAGGCTAGGTTTCTTTTAGCCAAGTTGAACCCTTCGGCAACCCATAAGTCGAGTTACGTGGATGGGTCGGAGGTTATAATGACGGATGATGTGAGTTTGCAAGCATTTATCGAGCATTTGCAAGAATTGGCGGTTCAGGGTTGATTGTAATGTTGTCGTTGTTGTTGTTGTATAGATAGGTTTCTGCCCGTAGAATCATCGTACAGGAAGTATGCGCTATATGTTTATGTTTGATGCAGTTTTTGTTATATCGGAAAACATAGTCTCGAATGGTTTATCGTCGTTTCTTTGGTCAGGTCGGGATGACCAAATTCATGCATCAACAACTTGTACGTTGATGTAGAGTAATTCATGTATCAACGACTTATAAATTGATGCCGGGTAAACCTCTGTCAGAATGATCAACTTCTTGCATCAGTGACTTGTACATCGATGTCGGGTACGCCTTTGTAGGAATGACCAAATTCATGCATCAACAGCTTGTACATTGATGTCGAGTAAATTTCTGTCGGAATGACTGAAATTCATGCATCTGTACATCGATGTTGGGTAAACCTGTCAGAATGACCAAATTCATGAATCGACTTGTACATTGATGTCAAGTAAACCTACGCTTCTTGTAAGTTGATTGCATATCGTCATAAAACAGCAACACATGTTTTGTTATCTATATCATTGTTATAAAGATCAATACATCATCAAACGCACATTTTGTATACTAGATTATGGCTGAAAATTCTTTAGTTCTGATTTGTTGGTTTTTCTACTACTGATTGTTTCTTGTGATGTACTGGGGGATCGGATATGGCAGCATATCAAGGTTATTATCACTGCTGAAGAGGTTAGGATTTCTTGTATTTTTTTTCCTTTCATATTTTTATCTTTCTAAACTTGTTTAACCACTCTTGGATGTTCCCAAAATTCATTATATTGTGCATATTGGTGTTCCTAGCTGATGTATGCAAGGGACTTTGAGAGCAGCGGCCTCATAGATTTACATACTAGTTTTTATACAACTGTTAGGATTGTAAACGAACCGAACGAACACGAACGGAGGCGTGTTCATGTTCGTTCTTTTGTTCGGAGTTGTGGGACAAACAAGGTGCATTTTTCAGTCTTATCCTACCAGCCTAATGTCACGCCAAACATGGAAGATAAACTTGGTAATTTGTGTATTGTATATCGATTACAATCAGTGATATATATATATAAGAGATACAATTACACTCTAGACCCTCTAATATAATTATGTATATATATCCCACTTAATTGTCTAATATTCCCCCGTAAGCTAAGGCCGGGGAGCGACCTGTAGCTTGGCTGTAGCTTGGACTGTAGCTTGGACCGTAAAAGGAGAAACCGTTGTGAAGGTAGCAGCTTGGTGAACACGTCTGCAATTTGATCATCTGTAGATATAAACTGAACTGAAAGCTTCCGTTGCGCAACCATTTCTTGAACAAAGTGAAAGTCAACTTCTACATGGTTGGTACGGGCATGAAAGACGGGATTAGCTGAAAGATACGTAGCACCAAGATTATCACACCATAAGATAGGAACCGACTTCACAGGAACCCGGAGTTCGCGCAACAGTGTTTGGAGCCATGTGAGCTCAATAACAGTATCGGCTAGAGCCTTCTATTCAGACACTGTTGATGACCGAGAGACAGTCCTTTCTTTTCGTGTAGACCATGATACTAGGTTTGGACCAAGATAGATAGCATATCCCCCAGTGGATCGACGTCGTCAGGAGAACCAGCCCAGTCAGCATCGAAGAAGCCGGTCAGGGAGTTATAAGCAGAATCAGTGTAGGCATGAAGGATTGTGCCTGAATCATGCATGATTCGTAAACCATAGTCAGCAGTGCCCTGCAAGTAACGAAGAATTCGTTTGATTGCCGTCCAATGATTTTCAGTGGGGGAGTGCATAAATTGGCAGACTTTGTTGACCGAGAAAGTAATATCCGAACGAGACAATGTCACATACTGAAGGTCACCCACAATTTGGCGGTACTTGACTAGATCAACAAACGTAGTGCTATCACCAAGAGCAAGATTAGCATTAGTGGTCATAGGAGATGAAGTCGGTTTAACATTAGACAGGTCTGCGCGTTGCAAGAGTTCAAGGATGTATTTCCGTTGTGATAGAATCATATCATGACACTGACTGGTTACTTCAATACCGAGACTAGCATGTACAAAATGGTGCCCATGTGGGAGTAAATAAACAAGTAAGGGTCCGTTTTGGAGCCTTGAAAGCCAAGAGAATTGTTGGGATTGAATTTTAGTGTTAAATTGTATTCTTCTTGAAAGTCTATAATTGTAAAGTTAGCGTGTTTGACTTTGTAAGTCATGTTGACTTTGACTAGAAGGGTTCATTGTTTGACCCTATATAAAACTTTGTCTTCTAGTGTAATTAGTGGAGATGAGCTCATTTGTAATATACGTAACATTGAGAGTGAAATAGAAGGTTTGACTATTTGACTAATTCTCTCAACTCCTCTTAAAGTGTTCTTGATGCTAACATGAATATTGCCATAGATTCATGAAGATATTAGAAAATTGATCATATTGTAGACTCAAAATTGGTATCAGAGCTGGATATGCAGAGAAATCACAAGAAGAAATCATTGATTTAAAAAAAAAATTGAAGAAAATTTTCTGGAGTACATCTTTTTCATCTTGTGTTCATTTTTTTCAAGATTTTAATCCGAATTTTTTTCAAATTTTTGTATTTTCATGTTAAAAATATGATCAAAGTGTGCGGAATTGCTTTGTGAATCGTTGTTATTCACTAAGTTTTGTGATTTGATCTTTAGTTTAAGAGATATAATTAGATTTGTGGATTTAAAATTTTTTGGTGTTCTTGAAAAGTTCTTCAAAAAATCAGTTTTTGATCTGTTTTTAGATGAAAAAGAAGTTGTTTTTGTGTTTTAGACATGTTTTGACCGGATTTTAGCTTACATCGCATACAGCCTTACAAGATTTAGGTTCCAAATCGCTCATAGGACTTAGCCATTTTTTCTTGAACATAAATCGAATATAGACTTGACCGAATACAACCCTTATCTGGACACCACTGTATCCGGATTGTGTGTTAATCAGACATCATGTCAACCGTATTCAAGCATTATTCGGTCATAGCCTTAGCCGATTTGTAGTCTTGATCGCTCATTCCCGCACCCGGACTCAACATCCTCGGACATCAAGGCATCCGATTTGGCTTCCTCGCATAACCCTTATTGCCGATTGAGTCTTTACTCGGAAGCAGCTTTGTCTGGGTTTGAGTTTCCTCGGCCAAGGACTTAGCTTCCTCGCATCACTAGTTGGTACTAAGGATTCCTCGCTCGCCCCTTTGTCTGGATTACTAGCTTCCTCGGCCAACTAAGTCGCTCAGCCTCGTCCGGATATTGTTCTCGGTAACTACCTTGGTCGCGATTCATTTTTCTCGCATACAAGTCCGGACACTGCCTTGTCTGGATTGTGTGATTCTCGGCCAGTGATTACCCTATCCCGTGTCCGACTTAGCCATCCTCGGACAACCCCGTGTCCGAGCTAGTCTTCATCAACCAATCCTCGTGTCCGTATTTCTCACTTTGACCGGATTGTGTTCTATTTTCTGTCTTAGCCAATTTTTTTTGTCATGTCCCATTTTGTGATTTTTTTTGTCAAAACTTAAAATTTGATTTTTTTTTCAAAATCAATTTTCCAGATTTCAGATTTTCTTCATTCTTGATCAGATTTTATCTGAATTTCACGTTTTTACCTGATTTTCTTCAAATTTACCTATTTTTGAAAAGTTTAACTGTTTTTGAACTGTTTTGTGTCGTGTGAACTGTTTTTGATCAGTTTTAGCTGTTTTAACAGTTTTTAAGTGTTTTTAACAGCTGGTGAGATTTTTTGACCTTATTGATTTTATCTGAAGGATTTTGTTGAATTGTGATTTTTTTTACTGATTTCATTCACTGAATAAGATTCGTTGATCAATCATTGAATTTTTAAATGACAACTTTTCTTGAGAAGAAGAATAAGGAACTGAAAATTAAGATTTCTGAGTTGGAAAAGAGTGCAAAAGATTATAAAGATAAATATATAAATATGTTCTATGAAAATCATGTTAATGAGGAACTTGTTATCAATTTACGAAAGGAGTATAAAGAAGCCATAAAACGAGTTGAGAACGATTCCAAGTTTTGGATTAGCAAACTTGAGAAATCTTTGGATGATGTAAGAAAAGAGTGTGATGAGGAATTAAAAACTTGGAGTATATCAAATAAAGGTCTTTTCAATAAACTTCAAGAAGTTCAAAATGCATTGAATACTGAAAGAAACTCTCCAAAAAGGAAAAATACAAAGACTGAAGATTTCACAGAGAAACTTCAGAAGTCTGAGAGTGATTTGATTGAGATAAGGAAATTACTGGAACTAGAACAGAAAAAGGTTTTGGAAGTTGAGAAGAATTTAAGTGCTTAAAGGATAGTTTTTGAGAAAGAGAAGAAGAGAATGATTGAAGTGGAGAAAATATTTGATTCTGAACATATATCTTTTGAGAATAAAATTAACTCTTTAGATCTTAACTCCAAAATGTTGTTTAATCAATTTTTTGATTTTGAGCGGCTAATCATCTTAGAACGAGCCAAGATTGATAAAGAAAAGAAAGAAATTAAAGAAGAATGTCTGAGCAAGAATCTTGAACTATCTGACTGCATTGCTCAAAAGCAGAAAGCTTTGGATGAAGATAAGAAGTTGTTTGCTCTTGAAAAGAAAAATCCCGCTAAGAAATATGCAGCAATTGCCAAAGGGCTTGCAAAAAAGAAGAAATGGCTCGACATTGCTTCTGAGAATGAAAAAAACAGCTCAGATGAAGAGACACAGGAGTTTACTAAAGAAAAGAAAATGTTTGAGAAGTTGAAGAAGAAGTTAGAAGGTAAGCTTCTGAATACTACAAAGAAATTGCCTGATCTTAAGACAAGACTTGAAACTGAATTGAAAATGAGAATTGAACTTAAAGAGAAGTATGATTTAGTTGCTGATGAAAGAGACCAACTTTTAAAGAAAGTTGAAGACTTTTCATGTGCTCAAAGCTCAACTGGTTCTCCTTCACAGTGTAAAACAAGCTTTTATGACTATTCTAAATTTAACAGTTATTCGAGCAACCTTAAATCAATTGTTTCTAAGAACTATTCTCGTTATTCAAATCAATACTATCAAGGGTATGTCATCGGATCACCCAATTATCATTCCAAATTTAAAAATGTTTGGGTTAATAAAGCTGAATATGTTTCGTCTCGTAACTCGGTTGTTACTAACTCCATTCTTTCCTGTGTTGTGAGATCTAATAATGATCTGATAACTCTTAGTAAGAGAAGGATCATGTGCTCCACATGCAAAACAACTGACTTTGTCAACAAGAAACATGACAACAGATGGTATGGAGACAACAGGTATCAGAAGAGCTGGAAGAATCATAACATGTATGATAACTGTTGGGTCACCTATTGATTTAGTGATGACCCACTGATCTGTTCCTCTACCTTAGCAACACTTAGTAGTTATTGGTTCTTTGTAAGTTGGTGTCTT